TCACTCCAGGTCTCTCTTTGTCTTAGCTTGACTGGAAATATGACCAGGGTAGCTTTCTGCTTGAGTGTAATGGAGCTGCTAACCATGGCCAAAAAAGGCAGTCCACTGTCCCTGGCTTTGCCATGATCCTCGCTGGCCTAATGTCACTTGCCATGAATAATGTAGCACTTGAGAGTGCTATAGGCAGGAGCAGGTTAATGTAATATTTCGTTTTTGCCAGCCAGCTGCCATTCTGCTGGGCCAACTATCGGTAATAGCTCTGCACAAGGAACCAGACTACAACTAAATCAATCCCTCTTTGGCTGGTAGACAGCTGTTGGGTCAAAGCAAGATAATGAGACAGGCCGGTCATTTACCAGGTGGTTGGTAATGAAGGGATTACTGCAACGAAGCGAGGGCTGAACAACAGCTGCCCTTTCTGGCCTCCCTTGGCAGGTACCACCCCCAACATTCTTCCCAAACAGCAACTGCCAAAGCAGACAGCCCTTCCTCCTTCTCGATTATTTGGAAGGTGCAAATGATCCCCAGAAACTTCATCTGATGGCTGGCCTGAAACTTTATGTTCTTCCCTTCTTCTCATTGTAGAGGCTCAGGTATCCCTTTCAGAGAGATCATGTCCCAATCTATTATCTGGGACACCATTTCTGGGGCACCTACCCAGAGCAAGGACCCTGCTATCCTCAGGAAAAAGTTGCCTTCACATGGAAAGAGACTTCAGGTCTGAGTGAATCACTAAACAAGAACACTCAATGGCCTGGGTTAGACTCAAAGAAAGTCCTCTGCAACGGAAGCCCTGAGGGGGTAGGAAAGCTCAGAGAGGGGTTGGGCTGTGGCTCAGTGGTGGAGAAAATGGCTATTCAGTAAGTGCAGAATCTTGGGTTCCATCCCGACATGACAACAGCAAGATCATGATGCATTAAAAAAAAAAAAAAAAAAAAAGATCATGACACATGTTTGGAAAGTGTCTAGAATAATCACAGATGTATATTACACGTTCAGTGAACACTGACTCTCCTTCTTTCTCCTTTCCCCTTCCTCCCCTCCCTCTCTTCACTCCATCCTTCATCCTGTTTTACCCTTGAGAAAAAGGAAGTTCACTTCAGCACACACAGACTGTCCTGTGGCAGAAGGAATGGGACCTCAGTTTCAGCCACATTCAGCAATACATGACCCCCCTCCCTTTTCCCTACAACAGGTCACCTAGAACACTACTGAATCCCAAACACCAGGACCCGGGAACCCTAGGAAGCCTGACACTCGTAGGATCTGCTGTGCCCTGTGCAGATTCAGCTGTGATGCTTCCAAGTTCATGGTCAGCACTCAGCCATGCATCCTGCCCCCCGAAACACTCTAATGACAGGGCAGGCATACACACTAAAGAAAGTGGCAGCAGGGCAGGGCTGAACCACAAGAATGACACTGCAAAGACTTCAGGGAATCCATGAGAGGCCAGGAGGTGGGGAGGCAGGAGGACAAGCTGTCTCGCCCTCCCTCGCTGGCATTCAGGGACAATTACACCCTCTTACCCAGCTGAGAGCAGTTCTCTGCCCTGTGGGTCTGCACTGAGCTGGGGCGGCCTACAGATGACTCGGCCCAGGAGCATGTGGTTGGCAACTCCTGAACTGTTGGTGACTCGATGCCAGCTGATTCAATCAGCAATTATGTTTTATTTTGGGGCCAGGGAGACAGCAGCAAACCAGGAAAATTATAAGACACTACAGTGCTATTTTGCTAAGAATATCAACTGCAAAGTTTTTTTTTTCTTTACCAATTGTCCTTTGGACGGTTTGGGGTTTTCAGTGTGCTAAAATAAAAAGGCCCTGGACACAGAAGTCAGATTAGAGCCAAATGTGCCATGGCTGATTTGGGTCTTTACCCAGTGAAAACCTCATTGGTTGTACAGCTGGAGGAGAGTGGTTCCTGCTGAGGGAACTTTGATGGTGACAGTCACTAGTAACTATGAGTCTTGTCTACCCAGATTGGTAGAGTTCCTTCTGTGGTAGACTCCTCCGTGCTTTCTACTAGTTATCTGGGTTTGAATAAATCATATGCAATTATTAGCTTCAGTTCTCTATCCATAAAAGGGGAGGTACCATCTAGCTCAGAGCTAACATGCAAATCCAGTGAGAAGAATTCAAGATTCAGAAAGCATCTGGCCTAAGCTATATTTCAAAGGTAACTAAGAAGTTGCCTTGTTGCCGAAGGTAAGTTTCTCATCATATACAAAAAAAAGTTGTCTCTGTTTTTACCATCCTGTATTACGCCCAAATAGACAATCAGCAAAAAAGATGCAAATGTTATTTCCAAGAGCAGTTAAGGTTAGAGCAATCAAAGAGTTTGTCACTTGCCTTGGTGACTACACCATTCCAGGCTCAGCCACTTAGCTGGGAGGAAAATGTGAGAAAGTGCAAGAGAGCTCAATTCAGTGTTCAGCATGGAGATGACTCAGGATACTCATCAGAGACCTTGGCTCCTCCTTTTAATTCCACAGCCCACCACAAACCAGGGTTGCTTCTCCAAAAACAAAGCCCTACGTAAGGACTTTGCCCAGGAATGGGGCATAATTACCACTTGTAAAGGAAGTTAGACCCAGAAACAAAAAATCCCTGAACTACATCCCCAGGAAATGGGATAATTTTCCTGAAACAATGTTTGCCTGCATGGGCTGGAAAGGCTAGACAATGTGCCCAGGACATCCGTGAAGGACAGTGACTCACCTCCCAATGCCCTCCCCTGTGACAGCTGGGGCCATATCCCAGCCATCCAAGGTTTAGGCCAGGGTTAAATGTACCCCTCACTAAAACAACATTCAACACCACTACCTCTAGAAGAGATGGTCACCTCTTCTCTGACTGGTCTGCCAAGACACCGTACAGGGTCATGCACACCAGTCCTGGACAGCACAAGTAACCAACATAGACAACTCTATGTCCAGTGCCTCCCTCACATGCCAGAGGGTCAAGGAGTGAAGAAAGCAAGAAGGTGGGCAGCAGGAAGTTACGACGCCACCTTCTGAAATCAGGACTTGGTATTAGTCTTGGCAGATTATAAAAGATGGACAGCAGTCTCAGAGTGGTTATGTAGCCTGTCCAAAGTCACACAGCTCGGAAAGGATGATACCAAGTCTAACTCCGAAGTCAAGGAAAGTGACAAATCCCACACAGAGCTGCCCTCCCAGCACCCCAGAGAGGCGTTTAAGATGGAAAACTGACGAATGGCAAGGACTCATCACACTTCCTAGCTTGCATAGCCACTTTCAAAAGCCATAAAATTTGGGGACCTCTGACATCAACCGGTCTAGTGTTAGGCACTGGAGATAACTGGTAGGCATGACTCAGTCCATGGGCTTTCTACCCAGAAGGTCAGCTATAGTGGAAATGATTCTGCCCACGTGTCCTGTGCTGCTGCTCAGCAACATGAGAGAGAGAGAGAGAGAGAGAGAGAGAGAGAGAGAGAGAGAGAGAGAAGACCGTATGTGACAGGGTAGCCTGGGTGGATTTCAATACAGCATACCAGAAATCCTATGTGTGACCAAAGTCTGATTTGATCTCATCATGAAGATGGCAGTGTAGACCACCTAGGAAACTTACTGGCAATGGCCAGGTCACCAGGACACCAAAGGAAACCCAAGTATCAAATCCCTGTTGAGTCTTGGCAAAAGGCAGCAGGTAAAGCCCAGGAGTCACTGAGTTTGCAATCACCTGTTTGCTCTGTCAAGTCACACCTAGAGCCCCAAGACAGAGAAATAAGAGGGCATCACTGGATACCATGAGGCCACCAAGACTATCCAAATTCTAGTCCCCAGCAGCCCCTAGAACAGAGGACAGGTAATAGGCTTGAGACAGAGTGAAACAAAGATGTTCTCAGGGTCATGCCTTTGCCATGACTCTAGGAATTTGTCATCTTCTCTCACCAGGCACCATGGACTAACACAAAATTCAGACTTCAGCACTGAAGAAATTCCTGAGTGTGTAACCAGGCCATCATTCTCCTACACACTCATTTCTCAGCAGTTTCTTCAAGTCAGTTGGCATTGGCTTAGTTGCTCAATCACCAGCTCTCAGCACCAGAAACAGTCAACTAACTGACATTCCCGCAGGAGGACCAGCCCCAGAGTCTCCATATCCAGACTTAAGTGACTTGCAGCTGTTGCTATGGTGACCAGGCCTCCCAACTGCACCTCGCTTCCCACGAAACACCAAGTTCCCCCAAGTCCAGCTTTCTATTGTCTCCAACACTATGCTTGCCGCCTTGTTAAACTAATAAGCCAGAAAGACAGAGATGGTCTTGTTACATCACACCCCCAACCAGGGTATCTTCTGTAGAGAGTACAGCACATAGGCCGTCACTGGGTCTTAGTAATCCCATGTGGTGTGTGGGTGGTAAGTTTATCCATGATCATGCCCTTCTGGGGGTGCTAGCAGATGGCTTCACAAGCTTTGTGGCTCTTGAAGTTCAGAGTCCCATCACTAGGAACTGGGGCTATGTGATCTCAGAAGCCTAAGCCCCAGGAAGGTCAAAAGTGCAGTCCTGCACAAATCCTCCACACTTCTCAAAATTGATTCTCCCAGAGCTTCTAACACATTCCTCATCAAAATGCCCAAGATGAGAAATGGTTCAGATTTGTGTTCCCCACCCCCCTCCACCAGACTTTTGAAATATTCATACATACATAGTGAGATACCTTAGGGTAGAATCCAAGTCTAAACAAGAGATTCACTTATATTTCATATGTATCTTACATACAGAGCCTGGAGATAACGTTATACAGTATGTTGGTTTATCTTCATTTTGACTGTGATCCCTTGCATAAGGTCAGACATGGAATTTTCTGCTTATGCTGTCATGTTGCTACTCAAAAAGTTTTGGGTTTGGGAGTAATTTGGACTTCAGATTAAGTATGCTGAACACGAAGGCAATTACTGGAGGTAACATGTAAGGACTTGGGGGCATTTCAAATCCCCAGAACACACTGAGAGCAGAGAGGTCCGGGGTCCTACCTGGATGGGGTTGTAGAGTTCCTGTAGGGGACTTCGAGATCCCTTCCGGCAGCAGATGTCCATACCGAAGGGATTCCTCCGCATGACTGAGGAGAGAAAGTGAAGCTCATCAGAAAACAGCTACCAAGGTTTGCTGTCTGACAGAGGGAAAGACATCTGGGAGGGAGGAGGAGGAGGCAGAGTGCAAAGGAGGAAAGCCAAGCTTCTGCCAAAGAGAGCCCACTGCTGTCCCCCGCTGCAACAGCTTCAGGTGTCCACACCCACAGCAGAGCACACTGAATCACTTTCCACAACACACAAGAAATAAGACAGGCATCTAAAGCTCACGGAGATGCAACCTGTCACAGAAGGCACCCTCAGAGTGCCCAAGGAAACACGTGTGTCTGTCCTGGGTTTGGTGACATAGCCTCACATCACCCAGCAGCAGAGCTGTGATCTGAGAACTACATCATTAGGTGACACAGTCACACACACTGAGAATGTGCGAGACAGTTGTTCCCAGAAGCCCTGTGGTGAGGCTGCTGAGGCAGGACATGGAAGACTTTCACAGTAAACATCTGTCCTAGTTTGCTTTCTGTTGCTGTGATAAACTGCAGAATTAAAACCTCCTAGATAGGAAAGGGTTGGTTCCACCTCACAGACCTCAGTTCATCATGGAGGGAAAGACAGAGCGGGCACTCGAGACAGGAACCTGGAGGCGGGACTGACACAGAACCATGAAGGGATGTTACAGATTGTTTTTGTTCTTCATGGTTCACTCCAGGACCAGCTGCCCAGGGGTGGCACCATCTATGGTAAGCTTGGCCCTTCATCATCAGTTAGCAATCAAGAAAAATGTCCCTCACACATTTCCAGGCTAATCTGAAGGAGGCAACTCCTCAACTGAGGTTCCCTCCTTCTGGGTAGGTCAGGCTGGCAACTAGGATTAATCACTGCAGCATCCTCTTGAGAAGAAATGCATTTGAAAGTAATGACAACAACTGGAGAACCAGTAGCACAGCTGCTCACATTGTCTGCTGTCGCGTCCTGTACCTGATGGGACATGCTGTGCTTTTATAGAAGTGTGGTGCAGTGTGTGTGCTTATGCCAGTGCCACCAAAGACCCGAGAGTAGCTTGCTGTAGCAGCTCTGTGACATCTCTATGGCGATGGTGTCACTTTGACAGAACTCTCATCTCCATTGTAATCCCACACAGTTGGATGCTGACTGTATGCCTAGCATAAAGCATGCAGACAACACCTCAGACAATGCCTTTCTCCACACCCGAGACCTGGGCTCCTGAGAATGGGGTGGGTGAACCATTTCCCAGGGGTTCCCTCCACAGTGAGTCAGAAGCCCTGGTTTTCTCAAGTCTTCTACAATTTGCATTTTCATTAAAATACCAACTTGAGACAGACAGGACAAAGGTCTGTGGCTCTAGAAAGAGCCGGCACTTACAATTGATAGGAGAATTAGAATTCTTCACCCTTCAGCAGTGAGGGGGCCAAGAATCCCTGTCAATAGAAATGAGCCCTTTCTTTCTTCATTTTCCCCTAAATCCATGCACCTTCAACACCAACACCTAACTACAGACGGAAGGGAGGGAAAGGAGAGAGGAGAAGAAAGAAGGGAGGCAGGGAGGGAGGGAGAAGAGGGAAGGAAGGAAAAAAGGAGGGGCAGGAGAGGCAGGTGGAGGAAGCATCAGATGAACATGGGCTTTGTTCAAACATCTAACAGAGTATTACTGTGAAGAAGATTAATGAAACAAGACTAGTACAGCCTCTTAGAAGTCTAGAGAACACCCTGGTGTGTGATAGTGGCCAATGCACAGTCCCTCATCCCCTAAAATGAACCAAGTGCTTAGTCCCTCATCCCCTGGAACAGACAGCCTGGGTTTCAATGATGGCTCTAACCATACACCAGTTGTGAGACCTTAGGCAAACTACCTATCCCCTCTGTCTTTTTCCTCATTCGTGTAAGGGCTTGAAAGAGAACCTCTTTGGGTTGGTTTCAAAGGTTGAGTTTTGATGCAGACTGTTTAAAATGTTCTTGGCAAATAGGCAAGTTAGAAGTTCCTGAAGCTATTCTAGATAATATACTAGATTAAGATCAATGTTGCTTGGCTCCAGTAGAAAGATGGGAATACCTCTCTTCCTGAACTGGCACATAGGCAGAGAAGGAGTTGACCACACTTCAATAAGAGGGCCAGATGAAAGGAGCTGCTGTTCAGGTGTTAACCTGAGGTGGTTGGGAAATAAGGAATCTGGAGCTTGGGAGATGGTTCATTTGGCAAAGTCATGGCCATGGAAGCATGCAGGCCTGAGTTTCGATCCCCTGGAGCCCACATTAAAAAACAAGTACAATTGCATATGTCCAAAAGTGGATAGCCCAAGCCCTGGAGAAACAGAATCTCCAGAACCCTGGAACTCATTGGTCAACTAGCCTAACTGAAGTGCTGAGCTTCAGGTTCAATGAGAGACCCTGTCTCAGAAAATAAGGTGTTACATGATAGAGGAAGATGCTTGGCAACCATCTCTGGCCTCTGCAATTGAGTGTGCGCGCGCGCGCTCAATGGTGAACCAAGTCTCTCTCTTGACTTCTCCCATTGAGCCTGGGGAGACCCTGAGGGGAAAGCACCCACTCCTGGGCGGAAAGGCTCTGTGTCCTGTCTCCTTTTTCTTGCCTTCCTGGGGGGGGGGAGGCTGGCAAGATTTTTTTGGAAAGGATAAGTGGCACTTAGCTATGTGTCATTGTAGGGTCAAAGAACAATAGAAGAAGAGGAAGGGTGACACAGCAGCAAGCTAGCAAGCTTCATTTATGAACAGGAATCTGACAGTTGCTGAATCTTCCTGATAGGAAATAGGACTCCTCTGTTGTTTTGGTTTAATGGCTTAACAAAATTAGGTAGCAGGCAGGGTTTTCTCTGAGGCTGGAGTTTGGCGATCCCTGCCCTGGAGCCTGGGGCTCCAATACAAGCTTTGCACATACCCACAGGTCCAGCGCCTTCCCATGGGAGGAGCGATCTTTGAGCAAAAGTCAACACATAAAAGCCATTAGAATTTGATTAGGCTGTCCAGAAAAAAACACTGGTTCTTTGTTCCTTCATGGCTGCCCTAGGAAAGTGAGGGGGAAATTCTACTTTGTGTTTTTCTTTAATTTATGACTTCATTTTTTCATTTCCACCAAAAAGGAGGTAAACTGTTGAGGGCACACAGGTCCTCCATCTGTACAATGGCCTAGCAGCACTTGGAGGGGAGAACACGATCGTAAACGTGTGAAACCATGCCCACGCCATACATGATTGAAGTACCCCAACGGCAGCAGACAAGCTCATCGGGACCTGCCACACTGAACGCCCTGCCATGGAACCCATTTAAAGCCTGCTTTTACAGGGGGCAGTATTATTTAATTGGTTTATTTTTCTAAAACAAGGTCTTTAAGAAGCCTGGATGTGTGGGGCCTGCAGCTCAGGTCCTTTCCCTGTGACTTCATGCGGCGCCATGTGAACTGACTTTGGTACCCCAGGCCACAAAAGCCAAAGGGGCCTGTGTGCTATTTATATGACAACAAGCCTGTCCTGTGCAGAAGGCCTGTGTGTAAGGAGAACACAAAACCTTTCAGGGACATCACAGTGCTCCAAACATTTCAGTTTAGATTTCAGATTTCAGACCTTTTGGATAAAGGATGAGCAGCTGGCCCAGCAAGATGGTCCAGTGGGTAAAGGTACCTGTGCTAGTCTGGGACTCCACATAGTGGAAAAAGAGAATAGTCCCATGCAATTTGTCCTCTGATGTTCACATACACGGGCATATGTACACACACAATTACTTAATTTTCAAGAGAATGAAACAATGACCAGCTAATAAGTCTATACAAATATCCAAATGGAACCCACCATCTTAGGCAGTTCCCACAAATGTGGGTGGTAAACAGAGTCCATAAATCCTCGCAAAACCCATATCTGCACCCAGGCCATCAACAGTGGAAATGTCCCCAGAGACCAGTGTCTGCGAGCTTACATCTGACCTCAACGAATCTTTGGTGCTTCAAATCCAATTTGTTCAGAGTCTGGGGGGCTCTCAGACC